ATTGACACTTCTAAGAGCCAGCGTGTGCACAAAGAACCCAAAGCACTGTAAGCTGTTTGCTTCTTGGAAGAAACATCTGGGTTAGATAGCTGTATGCAGTGATTTGCCACAGCCATGAGGCACATGAACCCCTCTTGGCAATACCCCACTAACAGCCAACTCACTATTGCAGGGGATTTCTTCTCTGCTTTGCAGAATGCCTAAGTAAATGTGGGGGAGAACAGAAAAGTGGAGAGGGAAGGTAAGGGAAGCCATCTGCATCCCCTGTGTGGCCAGGCAGGACATGGCTTCCTCTCAGTGGGGAGCAAGCTCCACAAATCCAGAGTGCACACAGCCAAGCCCCTCTGAAGCAGCCTTCTAGCCCCCATTCCCACTTCTTCTCTGTCTTCTCCCGCTCATACCACATTCATACACCCCTCTCATGAATTTTCTTGTTATTACATTGGTTTTCGGCGTCAATGTTGAACGTGAACTTTGGATGTGGGTATGGATGGAGCAGCCGCCCCAAAGCTGCAGCGTTTAAGGCAGCTGGAGGCAGAGGCTCTGGTCTCACCAAAAACCGATAGGACAGCATATAAAACCACTCGCTGTTCCCATCACTTCACCTGGCTCTGTATTTGTATGGGCTCAGCTAAATCCCTTCCAAATTACATTTTTCAGTCAAACTCATGAAGCAAAAAGCCTTTATTCCACTCGACGCTGTGATTAATTTTAATATATTCAATAATCGACCTGTGGGATTAAGTACATTAAAAATTAACGCTTAGAGCACAAGCTCGGGCGGCACAGGCGGCAGGGCACGGCAGAATTTGGGGGGGAATTGGATGTCTCCCCCTTCACGGCAGCCGGGGCGGGGGGTGTAGCCCTCGCTGCCCGTAGCGGGCCGGAACAGCGGGGCGATGCTGCCCCCTGCCGGCCGGCTGCTGCTACCGCGGGCAGCCTGCCCCGGGCCGGTGTTGAAGCCAAAACCACCACCACCACAAAGGCAAATAAATGCCAGTGAACACTTTGTTCTTTGAACAGCTTTGTTTTCTTAAGCTGTTACCTCAGCTGAAGTCATACCCGGCTTTTTTTTTTTGCAATCGGCTGCTTGGACATTGAAAAAACTTAAGAAAAGAGATGCTGAAAAGACAGCCCCAATTAGCTGATGGAAAAAGGTCTTTAAATACTGAGTTTGGGGGAAACAAAAGGCTATCAAATTCAGAGATAATCACAAAAGCAGAAAACATATTAAGGCATATGTGGCACTGCAAAAGCCTGCAGGTCAGCAGTCCACCAGCCTAAGTGACTTCTCTGCAATCCCCCAACCAAGTCAACCACTTTGTTGGAGGCGAATCCACCTGAAAAAATAAAGCCAGAGACAAGTAGACTGACTGAGCTCCCAAAAAGCAAAGCATTTCCAAGAACAATTTGCAAGACTTCTGCCAAGTGATTGCCTCTTTTTTGCCCACGGGCTTATTGTTGTTCATGTGATGTGGCTTTCTGTCTGATCTGTGGCCTTCTAACAGTACTTCCACTGCTTCTCAATATCAACTTCCATTTTTTGGAGGAGGAATAGACTGAGTTTTGCCCTTTTGAGAAGATAAAAGAGGGAAGTTGGCAAATTCAAACCTGTTAATGCAGGTTTCCCTTCTTAGACTTTTAAAAGACCAGACTACTGTGTAGTTCTTCCCTAAATACTTTGTTATCACAGAATCACAGAAAGTTAGGGATTGGAAGGGACCTCAAAAGATCATCTAGTCCAATCCCCCTGCCGGAGCAGGAACACCTAGATGAGGTTGCACAGGAAGGCGTCCAGGTGGGTTTTGAATGTCTCCAGAGAAGGAGACTCCACAACCTCTCTGGGCAGCCTGGTCCAGTGCTCTGTCACCCTCACTGAGAAGAAGTTTCTTCTCGAATTTAAGTGGAACCTCCTGTGTTCCGGCTTGTGTCCATTACCCCTTGTCTTATCATTGTTTGTCATCGAGAAGAGCCTGGCTCCATCCTCGTGACACTCACCCTTTATATATTTATAAACATTAATGAGGCCTCCCCTCAGTCTCCTCTTCTGCAAACTGAAGAGACCCAGCTCCCTCAGCCGCTCCTCATAAGGGAGATGCTCCACTCCCTTAATCATCTTTGTAGCCCTATGCTGGACTCTCTCCAGCAGTTCCCTGTCCTTCTTGAACTGAGGGGCCCAGAACTGGACACAATATTCCAGATGCGGTCTCACCAGGGCAGAGTAGAGGGGAAGAAGAACCTCTCTCGACCTACTAACCACCCACCTCCTGATACACTCCAGGATGTTATTATTTATTTAGCCCAGAAGACTGGAAATGAAGCCTCAGACCAGCTAGAATTCCTCTTGCTGCTGCTGCAAAAAGACCTTAGGAGCAATCTGCAGGCCTCTTGAGATTTTTCTCTGGTATCAGAGCTGTAAGATCAGTCTTTCCTTCATTCCCAAGGCAAATGTGACTTATTTGTGTACAGCCCTAGCTAAGGAAGCTCTTAAATACCTTGTTCTGCTCTAACATGACACAGAATAACCTTTCTTTGCCACCTCCCAATCTCCACAACACTCCAAGATATGGGTGGGAGTGAAGCAATACACCTACACCAAGTCTTTTAATAAAAACGATTCGTTAAGTTAGGTAACACTTCCCCAAAAATCATATGGCTTCTGAGTCACATTAGGAATATTACTCTTCCCTTTGTATTTGGACTCCTACATACGCCACAGTTTACTGTGTAGCCAGAGTTCATTTTCAGAAGTTATCAATATCATGATCATGTGCCACAAAGGATTAAATTGTCAAGGGTATTTGCACTGCTCCAATCACACTTACCTGCATGGACTCTCTGTGGAGTGCATGAAGTGTGCATTAGGTCTATCTGAGTGCATTTGTGCTCCTTCCATGTCTGATTACCTCTGATGCCCCCTCAAAATGCTGTCTAAAAAGCTCTGGATGTTCACTGTGCCACTATCATTTTAAATAAAGGTAACAACAAGCTTTTTTTCTGTGTTGTCCTCTCTTTACCTCTCCAGTTCTCTCTGACATTAAGAAAAGTAGGTGGCAGCAGAGAAAAATTTTGATTCGACTCACTCATCTAGGATATATACAGTTTTACACCAAGCATTCAAGGAATTACAGGGCAAATAGCAGCAATGTCCTTAGGAAAAAACTGGAATAAGTTAATACCATTAATTTATTTAACATCAGCTTTTACCTTTACATCAGTTGCAGCAAGCCTTTCTTAGTTCTGTTTTTATGCTCAAAGGTGATAATGCGGCACATATAAAACATCAGCCTGTTTGGAGCTTGCAACATTTGTCAGCCGAGGTTTGGAGAGGGGAAGGCCCCAAGACTGCAGTTACCGAAACACATCTGAGTGGGAGCAGAGTGGGTTTCCTGCACTGAGAGCACAGCAACCGAGAGAGGAAGGAGCAGAAATTAAAGCAGATACAAAGCAGGAGTTCAGCAGAGACAGAGGAATGCCTCTTCAGCTTTGGCTTCAAGTGTTAGCTCAATCCTCATACAAAGGATGATGTGCTATCTGCTGTATGATTTATCACTTCTTAGGAGGGCTCTTCTTTCTTTCCTGGACTAGAATACTTGCTGCTTTTTTTAGCTTCATGTTGCAAAAGAAATTATGTCATACGTTAATGTCCTGGAAATAAAATTTGAAGATTATTCAGCAAAGACTCAGGTAACAGCAAGGGCTGGAGTAATTAATATTCAAAAATATTTAATTTCTAGATGTTCATATATGAGTTAAATTCTTGGTTACAGCAAAAAGATCGTAACATAGAGCATCACAGTGACATAAAATCAAGCCATAACACTGCAGTTTATTACAACTGTGTAAACAAAAAGAAGTATTTCTGTAATGGCACTCTTCATGGACCAAGTTCTGGCATACAGAATCTCAGCAGAAGTCAACAGAAACATTTACAAAGAAAAGAAAAACCCAAATTGAAGCACAGTATATGAACCTGGCCAAAATGGCCCAATCCACATTTCATAAAAGAAAAAAAAGTGTCCTGAAAACTTCTGCTTGCTTACTTTTAAGGAAAATCAGTCTGAAATTTACAAGGCATGAATCCAGCATGTGAAACATTTTTACTATGACAGAATATGAACAAAGAGTAAAAACCTCTTAATTATGATCATGTAAATACCTCCTACTGTGACATTATTAAAGGAGGCAAAAGACAATTTGGGAATGTTATTGTCTGTATAGTATGACACCTGCAGAACACATTACCTAGGAAATAAAAATAAGTTATTGAGAAATAAAATCCAACATGCTCCAACGACGAAACTTTTTTTGTGTGTAAGTATCTAAGAGAAAAAGTAGTATTTTACTTTCTTCTAACAGAAGTAAACCATTTGATTATAAGACAATGTACATACTGTAAACTGTAAGATGGGGTTTGGACTAGAAATACACTCATCTCAAATAGATTTTAAATATTAGCACCTAAAATGTAATGCTGGGATTTAAACAATTTTAGTAGCTTTCAGGCCATGCAATAGTTATGGCTTGCTTGATGGATACAATTTTGCCAGCAATGTTTTAGTGTTCTGTGAGATCCTGTTAAAACCCACATAGGTCTGAATGCCACTACATTTTACACGTGTACCTTTCATACAGGAAGTTTTGCATATGGTCCATATGCAGAGAGAAGGCCCCACAGTAGCAGAAGGTATAGAGAGAGCCAAGAAGTTACAGTTATTTTAAAAATACTGGGAAACTGGGAGTATGTGATATAGTTGCAAGCTGGTATCTTCAGTTTACAGAAAGCTATGAATTTGCTTGTTTAAAAAGAGACATCCAACATGTGCTTACTCACATGCTGACACAAAGTTCATGCAAACTATTAAAAAAACCCCAAACTTATAAATGTTACCCTTCAGAAATGCTGCATCCTCAAATAAACTGACGCTCCTTCAGAAACAACAGGGACCAAATGTGCATATCAGCTCAAGCAACATGTAATTGCTTCCTCTGTAATGAGAAGTGAACGGCAGTATCGAACAGGACATTTCATTGAATCATACTTCTTTTCAAACATGGTTAAGTCCAAATCCACGTTCACTTGTCATTAAGCAATAGGACAACCTTTAAAAAAAAGTTATTTTCTTGGAGGGAGGACATTTTCTTCATAATAGCCTGGATTTACTACATTTCCAACTGGATCATATCTAGCCACCACAAATGTTGAGCCGTCACTAGCAGATGCTTTTCCAACTCCCATCTTTTTTGTGTTCTTCCAAACCATTGCTGTGAAGTGACCTGGAGAAAGAGAGACAAACATGCAGTCATTTTAGGTACTAAACCTGTAACATTCCCTTTAACACGTGAGGCAGGGGAAGGAAAGAACACCACAAAGCTGTTTCTTTCTCTATCAGGAGAACAAGCTGAAGACATGAAGAGAAAACTGCATCTAGCATTTTGTCTTGAAAAAGCCTGATCTGATTCTACATGCGTATTCCCAGCTCCATATCCTGTATCCAAATAAGAATACCTCATAGGAGAATCATGAAAGAAGTAGTTTGATGAGTGTCTGATATAAAATTTGAAAAAGAAACAAATGATCTTCACTCCCTGCAGTGCGAATAGCAGTTCTGTCAGTCACGATTATTAGTTTACTTCGACCATCTCATACTCCTCCATGTGTCTCTGGTTTTGTGGCTTCTTCTGCCTAGTTGTAATAGTCACTCCTGCATTGTGCTGCTCAATCAGTTGTTCCTTCTATGTGTAGACAGAATCCACAGGATTTTCTTTATCTGAAACGAGCTTGGGTATATCCCTTGCATGAGCATTATTCAAGGAACAATGTCCTTACGTTCATTCAACACTGGATTGTTAATATGCAATGGTCTGTTCCTGATCTCCACATTATATCTGGAGTTATTTCTAGGATTGGAGTGATATAACTTGGTAGAAGACACATGTCAATGTAAACAACAGCATAGTACTTTTAGTAAGACATCTATATGATTCCAATTTAGTATTTTCTACAAATTCATTATCCTTAAAAATAAGTTGCCTTTTAAAAACTTTGGAGTCAGAGGAAAAATATAATGTTAAAAAAACCCACACATTTTGCTTACTTGCTCAGTTCTCAGTTTCCTTTCATCCTTTTGTGAGTTTCTAACATAAAACTTTGAGGAAATTCTAGTATGTTTTCCTTCTATTTTTTTCTAAGACATAAAGGTAGTTTTTTGAAAAATACCAAAACAAGTTGGCTGGCCAATTTCTTAAAACAAAAGCTGTGTTGTTGAAGAAACAGTGCCCAGTCTGAACTTACCTGTCCCAGAAGAAAACCCTGGGTTCTGAAAGCTGTAATTTTTTATTTCACTGTACCATCTGTCAGCCACATCCTTTCCTGAAAGACAAAAGAAATCTGCTGTGGAATCATGACATAAGCACAGCTCATTTATAGCCTGGCCAGCAAGATCTTCTGTTAAGAGCTGGAAAGAACTAGAAACATGGAGAAACAGTCTTTTGACACGTAGGTAACATGGTAGTACATGTCATTTACCAAGTATTTATTGGTTTGCAATAGCTGTTGCTAATCAGTTACTAATTAGTCCAATGCTTTTTGCTAAGCATCTCATGCCATGAAGGCCATCAATGACTTGAGTTCTTCTGGACACAAACACAGTCCATCAATTTAATATTTCAAATTTCTGAGTGCATTTATTTTTAGTGGTTCTAACTTAGCCCTTGACCCATTGTGAATGTCCACTTTGAGGCACTCTAACTTGGGGTACTACGGGCAGACACCTCAGACACCTCAAATATCCATGCCTAGGAGCTGCTGCTGTGCGGAAGTCCCTGTGTCCAGCGCTGGCTCATCTCATCAAAGGCTTTCACTGACCGCAGCTCTATAAGGATGATGACTATGGCCAGTGATGTAGCACCACACGTCTGTATGTCTGTAAGGCTGATGTTTGCCAAAGGAATAATCCTTCCTTGTTTTCTGTCGCAGAGTTAAGGAACCTGATAGAAAGGAGCAGATTCTGATAATCTGCAACAGGTCCTGTGGATCAGGCAGCACAGAGGGCAGGAGCTCAGATCAGAACTTGCAGATGCTACGCACTCTAAAGTCAAATATTACTTCTTTTCCATTACTGGTTGTTAGGAAATTCTTGTGTCAAACACTGGGAGGGAAAAGGGTGCAGGTTTTTCCCTGAGCTACATCAATAACGAAATTTCTGCTTAGCATGCCAGGATGTCTAACGCAAGGCCGGTTGATTTCACAGCAAGCTGCCAAGGCTGTTAAGCCGACCGTCATGAAGAACACTGGTCCCTGGTGGACTGTTGGCTGCAGAACAGCAATGACTCATGTTTTGCTATTTTGCAGCAAAAAGTCTTAAACTTGCACTGTTCTAGAAGTCAGACACTGCGTTAATTTCTTTAAACTTCAGTTGCTTACGAGTGCAGTCTGCTAAAAGGATGGCGTTGTTAGCCTGGCAAGCTGGCTGGCAGAGCTGTCATTGAAAATAAAACATTGAATGAAATGCCATCTCTTCAGAGGTTTGTCAACTGAAACTACTATGAACTTATCTATGCCACACTGCTCCTTAAGAATTGTATTCTCTTAGTAGAGTAAATCTGCATTTTCTACACAAAAAGGTAGCAAAACTTCTCTTGCTTTCCAAAGTAAATGTTTCATGAATAATAACAGGTTCCTTCCTTCTCAGCACTCCCTGTGCCAAACAACAAACCCTGTAGACCTGTTTTACCACTGACATCTGTAACACAAATAAATGTTTGTTCATTTGTTACTCATGCTAAAGCTAAAATGAAGACTGAAAAAAGTGCAAAGAGCAATCTTTATGCAATATAAGGAGGAAAGAGAAAGCACGTAGTAGAAAAAAAACCATCAAACCTAAAACCAAGTAGATCATCCTGTCCCACCCTAGACTTCAAAGCTATGAAGGGTTTAGATGTGTCTGTGGCAAGCTTGGGGGAACAGAAGTACAGAATGTGACTGCAGGCACATCAGATCTGATGAAGCACATGTATTTTATGTGTACAAGTGCTGAAGTGACTATACTATGTAAGTAGCATTTTTACAGAAGTAGAACTGCATTTCCACTGCCACCAGCACTTCATTACCTATGTTAACATATCAGAGAATGTCACCCCCACTCTGCTTACTGCAGCTCTAAGAAGTGTACCCAGGCTCCATGTGACAAGAACTTAAAATCTCATAATACAGGACACATGGAAGTTTTGGCAAACACAGTATCTCTTCATATTTTTTTTTTTAATTTAAAGAATACTATCATACAAAAAATTGATAACTCTTTAGTTCAAGGGAAATGGCAATGGTATCAGGTAATAACCTCAGCCCTGTATAAGAAAGACAACAAACACAGTTAGATAGCCCAATCTATGATGTGTTAATTCCCAGCCTTCGTGGATGAAAGCTCGCAAACTATTGCAGCCAGGCAGTGAAAGCCTAGATGCTGACAGGAATGCTCCATTTTCCATGTGCAGATTGGGTTATCATTATATGGTATTGCTGTCATCCTCCCTGAATTAAAAGAGTCATTGCACTCTAGACTGTGAGAAATTAAAGACTGGCTTGTTCTCGGCAAAAGAGAAGGTGACCAAAGGACTAAGCAAGGCGGTGTCTGTCTTGAAATCATGTTAAAGAAGTGTCCTGGAAGTGACGGGAATGAACTGTATCTGTCAAATGCCACAGAGGACAACGGAGGTCCTGTGTGGAAGTTATTACCACATGAGAAGACAGGTAGGTACCTAGTGATTAAACACACTCTCATTCCTCTGAAATACTTTTCTTCTGATTCTTTGCCCCTTGGGAAGCAGTAAGAAATGCAGTGGTGGAGCATAAGCCAAACTAGGTTTGAAAGTGATAGCTGATACACAGCGGACTAAGGGAAAATTATTACAGAAGAAGTGATGCAGTTATATTTAGTGTCCATTTTCCGTGTGTTTGAATATTTCATTGAAAACAACTCCCACTCCAAAAAGCTCTCTCAAATCAGGGGTTGGTTATTGTTCAAAATGTATTTCAACCAGAAGGAAAGCACACATAAATCTCACTACCACCCCTCTTTCCTAATGATAGCAGAAATAATAGAAGTTTACTTCTATCAGAAAACATGCAGATGTGTCCTGCAGTCAGTGCTGCAGCTTCTCTTCTGTTGCTCCACTTGCAGAACCAATTAGTAGATTGCTGGTTTTTTTTTAAATATCCTTCCTGTTTGCATTGCTGCAAACCACATTCACAGTTTCAACACTTTCTCTATGGAAACACAGTTTGACTCCACCCTTCTCCTAGCAATAGCTGTCTGATGATCTGCTGGGTTAGACTTACCACATGTTCATTTCAGTACAGGCTGAACCCCACTCTAATGAGTTTCATCCATACCATGACTTTCTGGACATATTTTCACCATACAAAAACCTGGTGCAACAATCCTTGAATTAGTACCCAAGTATAGTTCTGCCCAAGACTAGGCCCAGCACAGTCATGTTTATTTAGTCTTTGCCCAAGCTACGAGCTGGTAACATGGCTACAATGACTGAGGTCAGCCCATGCATAGGACTAACAAGATATAACATAGGACTAACATTACTGGAAATATATATTTAAATATCTAATATTATATTATTTTATTCATATCTAGTCTAGTAACAGATTTCATCACAGTCAGCCAGAAAGGGGAACAGGATGAGGCTACTGGCACTGTTCATGTGAATGCTGACTGCCTCTGTCTGTGCTGATCTGTATGGCCACTTGCGTCTATACACCTGCATATATACATACATACACCTGCATATATACATATACCTGCATATATGTGTGTTTGTGTGCACACCTGACAACACACTCTTAGCCTGACTACTGGGAACAGAAGGCTGTGGGAGCCCTACTACTGTGTTCAGATCACTCTAACATTTAATTTCGCTGTGCCTAGCCTTAATATTTCTTTTCATACCAAAGAATCCTTAAATCTTCAAGCAATCCCACTGAGTAAATTGCTAAAAACTTTCTCATAAAATCACATAGGACATATTTCTGTGCAAGGATGGGCAGCATTATGATGATCTTACTTAAAAACTAGATACCCTAAACCTCATAAATTTCCTCAAACATTTTCCTAGCTTTTGTTATTCCAATCTTCCTTCTACCAGTCTGAGGGGAAAGAAGGTAGAGGCAGTTTTCCTCAGAGTTAAAATATCTACTTCTATTGCAGACATCCTAATTGTTTTAGGAAGTAATCCTCTGCTTTCAGCACTCCTTGTGCAAGTCCTTATTTAATTTTACTTTATTTTATTTAACAGTACTGGGTAATCCTGGTGTTAAAGAGCAAGAGATGCATTGAGGCAGGCTCTCAGTCAGAGCACACTCCTTCAGGGCTGAGGCAGAGGATGTCCATGCTGCTCTGACCATGAGGCAGACCCAGGTTCTTCCCACAACAGATCTGGGTGATAACATGCAGTGAATTTCTCTTACAGACTCTCCAGAGTTCATAAACTGCAGTGTTCTCACAGGCCACACAGCATGTTCTTCATGGCCACACCAGCCATCTCAACCAGAATTTAGTCATCCAATGCTCGCCTTCAGCCTCCCGACACGTGAGAAATGAGATGAGGCATCCTGAGAGGCCTGATATAGTGCAGCTGCCAAGGCAGGCTGCGGCCTCTCGCATTAGTGGCAGATGACAGCTCACTTATTTGAGCACAGACAAAGAGAAGTCTGCCATGGAGCAGTTCCTGCAGGACTGGAGGGAGGAAACAGCTGTCAACTATTTCTTGGATTACAGGGATGAACATATTTCCAGAGACAGCTTTAGGCTATTTAACTCTCAAATCCTGAATACAATTCAAGGTATTCTTGTACCAGGAGACGGGTCAAACTAGAAGGCTTTTATAGTTGAAAGTTTAAATCTTCTCTGAAACAAGAAATGCATCTTCTGACATTATTACAGAACTCAGTAAGAGCCAAAATAAACAATAGCATCACTTTTTAGAGAGAATGCAGAGTATGCTGGAGGCTTATTGAGTTTTGCTTTATCTGGGAAAGAAACCGGAAGACACTGCCTGCCTTTGTTAAGCCCTTGAATGGATGCCCTAAAACAAATTTCAGCCTCATTGAGCAGGGTCCAAATTAACTATCCAAAGGGAACTATATGAGAAAAAGAGGAAGAATGAACCAGCTCCACAGAGATGAAGATTAAGCCCAGATGAGAGAATAACTTCCTTTGAAGAACTAGTTTTCTCATTCTGGGACTTTGAATGATCCTGCTACATAGGAAATGTAGAAGTGTTTTACAGAACTAGAGAGGATATAGCTTAACTTTTTCAGCAAGACATTCAACTCTGTGGGTAAAACACAGCAACAAAATTCCTCAAAACTGGCAAGTTATGTATAGAAACAGCAAATTGAAGACAACAAATAGGATCCAGAAAAAGACAGGCATTATATAATTTATGGAAGAATTTGTGTGTTTTGTTTCCAGCTCTGTAAATGGGAATTCTGTGACTTTAACCTCAGGGGAAGGAGCATAGGCCATTAACACAAACAAGGAAGAAGTAAGCTCAGCCAGTGAGTCATAACCACTATGCAAACTTTGCCATACATCTGTGTTTTCCCATGCTGTTCTGAACCCTTGCCTTAGACTTTTGCAATGGACAGAATGCCAAATATGAGTAGATCAAATTGTATTTTTCCACCCCGAGTTTCTTTTTCAACACAAAAAAGTACCCACTGGGGACTAGAGTTGGCACTTGCAGAGGAACTGAGCAGTGTCCCTGGGTCTCAAACTCACTCACCAAAATTTCCAGGTCCTTCAAACAGGGCCTCCAGCCTGAAGAAGTGAACTCCTATCTCCCTGAGTCTGTGCTGCAAATTCCAGGGGTAGATGGGAATGAAGAAAGCAAGTGGTCACTTTTAATACATCCCATCTGCTGTCTCAGCAGGCTGAGGCATGAGCCCTGCCCACTGGAGGAGGCAGGAGGGAAAGGGTCTGCTGAACATCGCTCAGACTGACGGATCACTGCAGGCTGTCAGCCTGGACAAAATTCAGTTCCTCGGGCATCCAAACTGAAGGCTGCCAGTTACGTGTTACATTTATTATCAGAAAATATATGGAGTATTTTTGTCTTCAAAAATGAAGGCATGGAAAACAGCTCAAAGCCTGTTAGCTGACAGAGCAGAAGAGACTAGATGTCTAGCACATCAGCCTCTGTCACTCTGGTGTTCGTCTCCTGCTTTTCATCCTCACAGTCAGGAACTGTGGCGTAACAAGCAGTGGCCAATTTTCCACCCTCCTCACCACAGTTGGCCTGTGGTCAGCCCTCTCTTTGGCTGGGAAAAACTAAGGGTAAAGGTGAAGTACAGGGCACTGACAGCTTCCCTCTCTCCTCCCACAGACACACAAGCAGCTCTAAAGCCAGTTCCACAGCTGGGACATGGAGCAGCATCAGTGTCAAGTCCTACCTCCAAAAGGACACAGCACCCTACCACAGTCCCTTACCCCATCCATGCCTACATGTGCTTCTTGCCCTCAGTACACATAGGTGACTGCAAACTACCATCCTGTCCCCATGAAGCCTTGGCTGGGCTGGACACAATTTCAAAGCTGAGGAAATGCCAATACTCTTGCAACCAGACACTTTGAGCCCAAAATACATGAGACAAGCCATATATCCAGTGTCTCTGAGTCAGCAAGAGAAGAAAGCTTACCTGGTTGGTCATAGGACGCCCATGCTAGGTTTTCTCCACATTTTCCATTAGCAGACTCGGAACTGTGTTTGAGGACCCTCGTGGTAGCCAGTTCTTGTGCATACCTAGCAAAGGGATACACACATTGAGTCACGGACCACAGTCACAGTGAGCAGAGAGGAGGAGGAGCAAGAGGAGGAGAGGGAGATGCAAGCAAGGAATTTTGCTGGAAGATGATGGTTTAGGCCAAGTCACTCAGCTGCAAAGCTCTGAAGCCAGAGATGCTTTAAGCTTTTATAGATCTAGCAGTTAGGCAAAGAGAAGGCCTAGAGGCCATTTTCCTTGTCTTTCATGAGCCCCTGTATCACTGATGAGAAGGGACTAGAAGAAATCAAAGGGCAGATCTCCCCTCACTGTGTTCTGCCCAGCACCCAGAAATCCACTGGCCAGCCTTAGTTGCAGCTCCTGGTGGAAAAGGAAGTGCCTACAGCAATTGATGCAGGTGTCACCTCCTGACAATTCTAGACCCCTTCACGGGAATAGCTTAAATATTCTCGATGAGATGGAAAAAAGATCATAGTGGGGATTCAGTCAAAGCAAGTCTAAAAAACCCTATATTTAAAAATGAAAAAAGTCAAATGCAAAACAAAAGCAATGTGCCAGGTGACAGTACAGAGAAGGGGGCCGCATGGAGAATCTAAGGCAACAACTGTGTACACCAACATGGGGATAAGCAGCACTGTTTCTATAGAAGCTGACATGTGTGAGAGGGTGGGATGTATTTTATCATCTTATGACAATAGGATTAAGAATAACATCATATGTAAAACTATTATTCTCTTTACTGAAATTGGAAAGGCTTCAGTACAGAGTGAAATTGGAAAGACCATTTGTTATTTCTCATGGCACAAGAAATAGGAGGCAACACACAAAATTGTCAGGTCAAAGATTTAAAAGTCAAGTAAGAAAAAGGACTTTTTCCATGCTGCAGCAGAAGTCATTGCCATGGGACAATGCAGACACCAAGGCATGTGTGGGTTCGAAAAAGAGCTAGACAAATTTACAAGCCGGGGAGAGGGGGCAGGCTGTGAAGTGGGGAATCTTCAGGAGTTAATAAGCAACAGCATCAAAAAAATGATGATACAACCTACTGTTTAGGAAAAATATAATTTACAGGAGAAATCTGTAATCTCCAGGAGAAGATGACAGGGGAAGGATCACCACATTTATTTTATCCTGCTACTCCTTCCCTAATCATGAATTACTGCCATCTGCCAGAGACAGGAAATCTGTCCAGCCGAATATTTTGGCCCAAGCTAGTCCTTCAGTCATTAGGTTCTCATTTCCTTCTGTCTTAATCCTCTCACCTAAAAGAAAAAAGGATTTCTCTACCTCCATTAATTTAGAAACAATGAAAACTCCTCAGTTTTCAGTCTGCTAGATCCTGAACTAGAAGATCTCTAGATGCTCCTTCATGCCTATATCATTACAGTCCTGTAATTCTTTTCTTCAACGATTCCTACATCCCAAGCAAGAGGCAAGACTGGAACAAAGTACACATTGCACATGGACAAAGTTGCAAAGGATTTGAGACAAAGAGTGATTAATTCACTCTAGCTCAGGCAGTTGAAAGCATGAGGTTTGCATCTGAGATCATCACCCAATGCTTCAGTACAGTCAGAGATAAACAGGCACCTGCTGAGGGTGACTCATCTGATGCCTAGAGCAGGGATTCAATAGTCAGTTCATCTAACCTGTTGCAATTACTGAGACTGAAAATAGTAGGAAACAGACATTTTCAACACAGATAGAGAGACACAGAAAAGTACCCAGAGATACACCAAATATATACCAACAAACACATCAGACATACCTAAAGAAAAGGCGAAGTTCTTTGAATTTGAGATTATGCAAAATCTGTCTTGACAATTATGAGGTTCCTTATATTTCATGTCTTTCATCCAGATCAAACGATTTCCAGTTCCTGCTATCAACCAGTTTCACCACTCTCTGAACATGTGTCTTTTAATTCTTACAAATTAAGTTACAGAGCGTGACCCCACAAAGGTTTCCTATTGTTATTCATCACAGTGGGGAAAGTCAGCTGAGACCAGAGAAGATCGTGAGGAATTCCAGAAGGATCTAAAAATACCCAGCAAGGGCAATGGCACACTTAGAGATAAATGTGGAGCAATGCATATGTGACAGAATAATCTGAACTATTCATACAAGTTCATTGTTCAAACCAACTGTAGCACTGTAGAAACACAAGTGTTATTGACAAGTCAATGAAATTTCTTCCTCATTGGAAGGCATCATGTAAAGCAGAAACAAAACAACCCTTTGAAGAACAGAAGGAAAACCCCAGCAGATTACAAAGGTATGTGGTTGAGTCACTGGCATTCCATCTTCTAGAAATACTGTATCCAGTTATCATGGCATCTCAAGGAAAAAAAAATAAGTGAAAAAATCAAGACAGAATCAGGTTTTTCTTGCTTCCAGAGGGCACGTCCACACACCACGTACATGGTGCGTGGTGCAGCACACCACCTGGCTGAGATCTCTGGTCTAGGAGTGCAAGAGCTTGTGCATCTGTGTGACAGCGCAGCACCATGCTGGGACAGTAAATCAAGTTCTGGAAAGGCTACAGCCTCTCTGGCTCCCAGCCAGCCAGTGTGGAGAAGTCTGCACTGTTATGGTAGAAAGTCTAATAGGAGATGAGATCTCATGTCTGTAGGGATGAAACTGGCCACTATTTAGCTATCATGGAAAGCCATTTATTTTCTGAATAGTTTAATCAGCATTTACTCCTTCAAGTATCTCCTTTGTACTGCCTGAAAAAGTTGAAGATTTGCAAATCTACTTTGAAAATGTTTGCTGTAAAAGGAAAGGAAGTAATCTGGTTGTCATGTCTACAGAAAAGAGGACAAGCAGTAATGTACTCTAATTTCTGTAAGGAAGACATAGACAGCAGGAAGATTAATCCACTGTACATTAATTAGACTGACAAGAAATTGTGCAGTATTCAGCACTGGAGAAGAGGCAAGATGTGTTTCTCCTGACAGACTAGAGTACAACGTATACTGATTTTGCTTTTGGGACAGAGAAATAGGTCTGAAATTACTTCCCTCTGATTCCATTGATCATAGGCCAGACATCACTTCCTACCATGTAAAAGGTAATTTTCTGCACTGTTTCAACAGCAGTGGATATTTTCCTGTAGATTACAATCCATCATCTGACAGAGGTGGCGGTAAAGCATATTTTAGGCAACTACCCTCTGCAGAAGAGACACACCAGTGCAGAGAGATGCAGCCCACGTCTGGACAAGGGTGCAAGAAAGATTTACCCAGTGGTGAGCACAGAAGTGTCCATGTGATGTGACCAGTTGATGCTATGTGATGGAGAAAGAACGGATGAAAAGGGTTGAGTAGGGAGACAGAATAGAGTCCCTTACTTCCCACCCAGTAAGTCTCCACTGAATATCAGCATGCCAAAAGGCAAATATTTTTGCAGTATGCACAGTCAACATAACAGATAAAAGTGTCACAAATCTCATTAGAGAAAAGAAAGGACTGAACTCACTGTTGGGCTCCTCTGTTTAACTTCTTGCAGAGCTTTAATGGCGGGACTCCGTGTTTCTTCCTGTAGTCATTATGTGCTTTCAAGACTTCTTCGGCAAACTGTTTGGAAGCTGAAATCACATTAAAGAAAATAACGGAAAGGTCTGTCAAATACAGACATCAGTGAAGACAGAAAAAGCATATCCTGTATCTAAGATGCTGGTGCAGGCTGGACTGAAAAACAGAAGCATACAACCCTCATTACCTGGGAGTACAATGAAACGAATCACTAATGCTTTCTGTCAAGGAAATAAATCTAAGAGACACTCCCATCAGGTTGGGACAGGCTCACTAACGGTTGAAGAAAACTGTGAACCTTATTCCTTTCCTCAATAACAAGGTGATTTAAGGTTAGTTTGACTGGCTTTCATTTTAAGATTTCAGCTCACTGCATCACTACTGCAAAGAAGTTTCAGAGTAAGCAAACAGGTCCTTTGAGGAGATGCACTAAAAATGCAAATTATTGTCACTGCATGCAAGAATTTTCTGTATTAGTCAAGACACCACCTAAAGAAAACAGAGATACCAAAAGGTATCCATGTAACTATGTAAATACTTTGAAACATGCAACAATTTCTTTTCTTCATTATATAGTATAAATTCATAGAAATCTCAAAATGCACCTCTATTTGACTCAATACAAATAACTGTTCACAAACAGCAAGTGGTAAGGTAAGGAAAGAAATGACTGTTGGGGATGATTTTCTCCCCCATGCTAGAGTGTATTTGGTAAATATTTCAATTCCAAAGTTACTGTAAAGCTTTAAAAGAGCTCACGTTCATACCCTGGTAAACTTGGGACTTCTAGCAGCACAAGGCAGAGGACAAGCAACAAGTCACAGTGTGATTCACTTTGACAGCAACTTTATGCTACCTCCTTCTATGACTTTGCTGATTTTTCACATGATTCAAAGGAAAAAAAATATTTAATCATTAGTAACCCTGTGGAATTTGCTGTTTTAAGAGAAATTTGGAACCTGAAACAGGGTATTGGGACAGTTAGAGAGGGGGTAGCATTTTTAAAACAGAAACACTGTTTTCACTTTCTCTATATTGCTGAAGCTTCTGAACAGGCCAAGACATCTTTGAGTATTCACTCTGCTTTTACCATGACACAGGTTTCTACCTTTATTAATGATTCATCAGCTTCATTTCTGAATATCCTTATTAGCACAGCTACCATCATTTTCCTTGCAAGACACTTTTGAAGCCCAAATAGACCTCATGACTGGAAAATGTTTCCTGTTATTAATTTTCCTCAACTTCCTCTCACTACTCGATCCTTACAACTATAATCAATCATTCTCTTTTTTATTAATGTGTACGCTATTCTGCTGTTTGTAATGATGCATTTTCCCACAGCAGAGCTGTCAGTTTACACACACTGCTCTCGTAACCTTTTCCTAAGGTGATTACCCAACCCACGCTCATGCTTTAAGCTGTTCTCAGAGTTCTCTCCAGTTTCCTCGGCAGCTTTAGGATAACACGTCAGCCTAAGATAATCTCAATCTCCAGTGCACGTAGAAAGCCGTTACTGTTTCACACAGTACCTTGAACCTTTTGAACACCAGTCTGAAGCTGGGTTGACCTTTTCCAGACCAAAGTGTCATTGTGAACATATATTTTATATAGTCTCCACCAACACGCTTTCAGGCTTGATTTTTTTGGTATTAAATTGTCATTAGACAGCAACGGGAACCCTGTTGAGCGAGATGAGATCTGCCCACCATCTTCCTCCTCTTAGGTTTTCCTTTAATTTTGTGTGTCACAAGTTGCATATCATCAAACGAAACAGGCACCTCCTCTCCAGTATATAAGCCCCCACACACCCTTTTGCTAGCAAACCTGTCCCATCACTCTTACTGCCATTGCTCACAGCTCACTGATCCTATCAGGCGAGAGTTCTCAGTGTCTCATCTGCTGCATTATGTGGGGTCACGGCCTATTTCTAAACATAGAATCATAGAATGGTTTGGGTTGGAAGGGACTTTAAAGATCATCCAGTCCAACCCCCCTGCCATGGGCAGGGACACCTCCCACCAGACCAGGTTGCCCAAAGCTCTGTCCAATGTGGCCTTTAACACTTCCAGGGAGGAGGCATCCACAACTTCCCTGTTGTGTAAGCATCTGTCATAGGTTGCTGAGGAAAGCAAACCTACAGCCAGTTCACTTAACTTCACTGATGCAGGGGTCCATGCTTCCAGCAGGGAAATTTTAAGAGTCTGCAAATCAAAGAAGTTGAAACACACAGTTTTGGAAGTTGCATCACTTACTCCAGGCTGCACTTGTCTGCACAAGACCATCTTAAAGCTTGTGGCTGTTATTGCCTAGACTTACTATCTTATCTGCTCAGCATTAAAAAGCAGATAAATAATCTGACCTCTAAGTGTGCAAGTTTCCATTTGCTCTCAATGACAATAGCAAATCCAAATTCTAATAAAAAAATAAAGTCGACTGAAAAGCAGGCTTTGTCAGTTGTCACTCCATCCATTAACAAAAACATTGCATAATCCATCCATGTAGTTAGGTTTTCACAGAATCACAGAACGTTAGGGATTGGAAGGGACCTCAAAAGATCATCTAGTCCAATCCCCCTGCCGGAGCAGGAACACCTAGATGAGGTTACACAGGAAGGCGTCCAGGCAGGTTTCGAATGTCTCCAGAGAAGGAGACTCCACAACCTCTCTGGGCAGCCTGTTCCAGTGCTCTGTTACTCTCACTGAGAAGAAGTTTCTTCTCAAATTTAAGTGGAACCTCCTGTGTTCCAGTTTGTGTCCGTTACCCCTTGTCCTATCATTGTTTGTCACCGAGAAGAGCCTGGCTCCAAAGAGCCTGACTTACAAAGACCAAAAAGATACAGACAAAACTGAGTTTCTTCTAGCCATGGGAGGCACTGCTATGCTGTCCCTAGAGAACCTCCATCCTCCCCTTCCCTCAAAGGTGGCTGCTACAGAAACCCTTATCTACCATGACTCAAGTGCACGTGCTAACCGCCTCCCTTTGCACAGTTTCTCCTGTACACGCTGATGTGTGGAGAGGGACACCCAACTGCCAAGTCTATTTCAGATTTGTTTTGAAAGACATGTTGAAGTTTTTCCATTTTACCAATGTTCCATACACTGAAAAGCCAGATGTTAAAAGTGAGAGTTAACAGGAGTTTTCAGGCTTCCACCCAGCTTCCCAAACAGCTTCGGAAACGTACTTTTTCCCCTTCATGTAGGCTACTTAAGCTGCTAGAAACAGTTATTCCCTACAGCCAGGAAGTTAGGTTTGGTCATGAATCCTTACACAGCTTAAAAAGTAAAACAACTAAAGGTATTAGATACCGTTGCTTGATTCTTATTATTAGATTATTTACCGCTATTTGGGATTCTTCTGGAACATCGGCTAAGATAATGACAGCATGTGACGACAAATTTCCAGGCTATGAGGTTCAAGAGCACACTTTGAAGTTGTTAAGTTTTGGACTTCCAGTTTCATTGATCAACTTTGCATGATCACAAAAAAGTAAGCAGAGGCATCTAGGTTGCCTTTTCCCACCAGCTTTGTTTTTCCGAGTATTCTATTTCTCCATTCTCTTACTCTCTCTAAACAGTGCCAATCTATTCAGTCTTTCTCAAGTGAAGAGCTCTTCATGCCTGAATAATTCCTGTCTGTTCTTTGAACCCTGTCTTCTCCTGCTCTGTTCTTCCCTTAAGTTTGGACATCAAAACTGAAGCAATTTATCTAAACAAGTCTTCTACAATACTAGTGGCTCTGCAGCATCTTTGCAGTTGTCAACTGGACCTGCTCCACTGGTCTTGCAGAGCTGCAAGATGGTGCGCAGAATGAGTAACAGTAAAATATTCCACAAAAAAGCAAACATGAAAACTCTCCACCCAATACCTACACAACAGAAATGCTGTTGGCAGCTCCTGTGTCACCACTCAGTATGCACAACATTATATCAGGCGCACGCTTGACTAGCAAAAAAGGCGTACATTTTATGACTAAGTGTCCAGCCCTGTGACTCAAACATAGCATCAATTTCTGGAAGCATCATTGTCTTCTCAGTGTTCTCTGGCCTACTGTCTATGGATTAATCTTCACTGGCAATTTTGTACTTTCCACACCCACTAATTTTTTTCTGTTTAGCCTTCAGATAATTAACATACAATGCAGTCAAGAAGAAACAGACCTGATCTAGAATTCTACACAGAAGTGTACCATTATATTTGTCTCAATCCCTCTTTGACCCATGAGATAGGCCTCAATTTGTCAACCAATGTGTGTGTTACAGGTCAGTGGAGATAATGATCTCGCCTTTCAACTCTGCTCCAAAATAAATATTAGAAATGTGCTCATATAATGGCTAGAGCAACATATCTGAAGAAACCTAGAAAATACACTTTAAAGGACCCGCCCTTTTGGGAAGAGGAAAATGCAAAAGCCTGATACCAACAACTTTGGCAATGTGACTCATAGTACCCAGGATGCGGCATGGTACTTCCACACCTTTTCCTATCCAGAGCACAGGGAGGATCATCAGTTACCCAGGCAGAAAGAATCTAAGCACCAGCATACACGGAGAGGGCACAAATGCAAAGTGGACAGAAAATGCATAAAAAGGTAACCGGGTAACCATTTCAACACTGAGTACAGCTCTGTTTAATACTGATATCCCTTCAGTCTCCCTTGAATCTGCGGAACTGCTCAACTCTACTCTGATAGGAATAAGAATGCAGCAAATACAACTTTTAATATGTCCACCAGCTTTGTGAAAAAAAAAAAATCATCAGAGGCTTTAGGAAACTGCAAAATAATTACACCAAGAAGTCCTTTATTACTCTCCTGGATAACTTTTTGCAGTTGAAGTCTCCTTTTCAACAAACATCTCTAAGTATATTTACAGCTTGGAAACAAACAAAATTCTTGAGTAAAAGCCATTTCAGTGTCTCATGACTACATACTCATCTAGACCTAAGAGATCTGACATATTAATTAGTGATAATATTTATTAATAATCTCTATCTTCACTTGAAATGTAATTCCATGGAAACTTGCTCTAGCTGAATCTTTCACACTCTGAGAGAAACATTCCCTTACTGGAGAAGTGACAGATATTTAACTGAAATGAGAAATGTTAAGAGGACAGTTATGCCTCTACTGCATTTTGAGTTACTACTTTGGTTTGAAGTCCCAGACACTCCAGGATGGTCTTATACTGGCTGGCCTCTACAGTGCCACAAGGAGTGAATTTTCCGTGTTTCTTTCTCCATATATTTGACTGCATCTTCTTGCTTCCTATTTGGGACAGTCACATCTTCAAAGACTGGCCCTTGATGCTGTTCCTGAATATGTCATTTGGGAGCATGGATCTGACGCTCCCAATTCATGCATCACTTCCAGCCATAAAAACTGGCTGATCGCTTGGACACAGACAGAAGAAATTAAATCATGCATACATCCTGCAGGAAAAGAAAGAGAAAGTGATACTGTATTCAGAAAGCATTATATCCTGGCTGGGGCTTCTTTGTCTTGTTTTACTCCTTTGAACCAGTAATTCAATAAATGGACAACATCTCCATTCCATACAGTAGGCATTTATGGGAGATATCACAATTGTTGGTAGACCGTTTCCCTTCCAACCTGAATTATCCTATGACCCTACTGAAAGTTAGAAGAGACAGTATTGCTTAAAGGGATGACAGGAATTGGGGGTTATATTTAGACACGAGTTTGAATGGGAGTAGTTTCATGGAACTTCCTTGTGTTTACCAGACTGCTCAAAATAGCTTTCCCTTCAGCTCAGGAGATCTCTCTTCAGGGAGGAGAATCTCTGATGTCTTTTAGCATTCAGTTTTGCCTGAACTTTTCTTACACACATGCTTACTGCTGGAGTGAGCTTCAGGACACCAGTAAGATGTCTGAATTAATTAAATCTGATGTACAAACTCCCCACTCATTTTATTATCTGGGTTTCCTCTACAGCAAACTGGCAACTTAATCACCTTGCATTACCTGTGCCATATGGTGCAACACACTATTTTCCCTCTTACCCAATTTGATGCATATTGCCTGAGAATATGAAGCCATCGGTGTAATAATGTTTCAATGACATTAGTCATGTCACTATTTGATTGCAAATCCTATTCTTGCTATAATAGACAGTGCTGATTACTTCCTCACTTAAGGCCTTTTATAAACTGTTAGGCAATTGACTGCCCTGATTAATAAGGAACACCTGGTAAACTGGAAACCGCACAGCTCTGAGAGGCAGCACAGCCTTCTGCGCTACAAGCGTTATTTAAAAAAGCAACACTAATCAGCAGTCTTGAGCACTGGGAGAGCCAAGTTCTCACTTTCATTGGAGGCAAAAGTTGGGGGAGAAGTCCACTGCTTGCAGCCTTTCTCTCCTTCAAACAATCAGAACTTGTCTTCTTAAATTTAATTGCCACACAATTCCTAGGGTACATACACTTCAAAATACAAAGCCACGAGTGACCTGCATGTGTTAGAACTGACCACACTATGCAGGAGGAGAAAGTGAAGAAATCTTCTCCATTTTTTCTCACAAAATAAGGTGCAATTGTATTCACTAACCAGTAACACCAGAAATCAGAACTTCCCTACTTCCAAATCTGAGCTTCAGCCATTAGGTTGTGATTTCACTTTATCAGAATGTTTGCATGACAGCAGCATGATGCTATACTTTCAATGTCTAACCTGAGTAATTTTTGCTGGTTACTTATTCATATTCTGGATGCTGCATTTTCCTGTGCTCTGTGGATGCGGCGCTTCTACAGGCAGTAACAGAGAGAACATTGTTGGTATCCAGTGCCAGGTTAATTTCACAGAGCACTGTTAGCTGTATGGTGCCAACCCAGGTCTTTGCAAAGTGAAGAATTTTGCAAAGAAGAGCTGAAGAAAGGTAGAAGAATTATCCCTCTTCTCCTGGGATATATGTTCTACACTGCTTGGTACTCATACCTGAACTAGTTTTTACCTCACTAGCTCCAATACCCTCCCACCTTGCTTTTCTGCCAAGGACATACAAATTAGCTGGGGCAGTGCTCAAAGTATGTTTATTTATGCATGTCCCTGAGGCATGGAAACAGGGACATTCACATTTCTCCTGATCACTGATGTGTAAACTCACCGATCCAGTAGCACAGACCAGGCAGGGAGACACAGGAGGCTTTCTTTACCCATATTTACTATCAATTACATTATCTCATTCTCATCCCCCTGTTCAACAGGCTAACTCCCAGTTCTCATAACTCAAAATCTTGAAAAACATAGTCTTTATTTCATATAATCATAGCATGGTTTGGTTGGAAGGGATCTTTAAAGGTCATCCAGTCCAACCTTTTGCAATGAGCAGGGATATCTTCAAACAGATCAGGTTGCTCAAAGCCCCATCCAATCTGGCCTTGACTGTTTCCAGTGACGGGGCATCTACCACCTCTCTCACCACCCTCATCATAAAATAATGCTTCCTTGTATCTAGTCTGATTATCATATATTTAAAGGATCAACTAGGCATATTGCCCCCACGCCACCCCCCGGAAGGTAAAATTCCACTTTTACCCCAAAATATTTAAACCTCTTGATTTCAATGTTCCCTCTGCAGCTCCTGTTGCTTATGTACTTCTCAAGATCTTGGGAGCCAAAGAAAAAAAGAGACTGCAGTATATGCAAGGAATGTACACGCATGCCTACACCCAGGCACTACAGTTCCAAAAGGAAGCCCTTTGCATCTCTCCAAAAAGCCAGTGCCACACCTACAACATTGTGTCATGGACATCTCCTCCTGTGACCTGCCATGGGGGGAGTTCAGGGGAATATATTCCTCCTCATGGTCGTAAGTCCTCATACAGTGGAGCTGTAGAAGCCATAGAGCTATCAAAGCCTGAATATCATGAAACACTTTTTCACTATTAGGGTTATGGGGCCCCAGCACATGTTGCCCAAAGAGGTTGTAGAGTCTCCATTCTTAAAGATATTCAAAGGCCACCTGGACATGGTCTTGGGCAATTGGCTCTAGGTGGCCTTGCTTGAGCAGTGGGTTTGGAACAGATGACGTCTAGAGGTCCCTTCCCACCTCAACCATTCTGTGATTCAAATCTGAGATATCTGCTTTAGTAATGGGTCTTCAATAAGGGCAAATTCAAGAAGAGGCTATACACTACCACAGTTTACTCCTAACCACTTTCTGAGTATCACATATTAAGTGCACAACACATGCCAATGGCCCAGACAATTTACAAGTGTGACGAACAAACACATAGGGTATAATTAAGCATGTATTCAATAATTTCTTAATACTATCGTTTTCCCATACCTGCTTGCACAGAGAGGTTGGCCACTGCCTGGCCTCCCCTCTCCCCCCTCTGCAGGGCCACCCAGCCCAGCTCTGGCAGAGCTGCTGTTCAGACCTTCAAAGACTGGGCAGAACATGCTTACATCTGCCTGTAAAAACATAACACAGATATGGTTCAGCTAATCTTTCAGAGAACAGCAAGGCCTCTACCAAAATAGCGATCTGAAATAGTTTTCTGGTCTGTTGAGATATGTAACGAACAACAAAGCAGTTACAGTTTAGAGACTCATTTTCTCGTACTTTTTGTTCTTTCACACAGAGCAGCAACTAAGGCAAATTCAAATCTAGACAAGATAGATACTATCAACTGTACTGAAAGAAAACTAAGGGTTTGGATGTTTTCACTGGATTTCACTAACAAAAGCTTTCTTCCTGCATTACTTTTTTTTTAGAAAGATTTCTTGGAAGATTCAGAAAGGACATGAGCCTTTCTGATGTGCAACTCTATGGCATGGGAAACCTTGGTAGGTATCTCAGTCACTACAGACCATCACATTCCGTCTTTGTAAGGCCTTGATACTTGTTTTGGTATATATCTGCCTTGAGCATAAGGAGCTCAGGCTACCAATCTAACAGTCAACAGGACTAACCACTGCTGTGCAGGATGGCCGCTGAAACCCTGATGGTTCAACAGACAGGTAAGAATTGGGCCCAGAATACTGTTTGCCAAAGCCTGACACACCTTCCTGGCAGATTTCTCTTTATGTGCCATTTATTGAACCAATTAATCAGTGTCTTCTACACACAAAAACTGGAGAAGTAGAGGGGGTTTAATAGAATTAAGTTGATTTTTGAAAGTTTGTTTTCCCATCACACCTCCAGTTCAGTTCCAGTGCAAAGAGAAACCTGTATTAACGAGTTCTGCAAACACCCTCTGTTACTACACAAATGCTTGGTTGCTTGTGGTTTAGACTAATTCATTTCCTCTCTCCACATCGGTACTGTAAAACCAGCCAACACAAAATGCCTTGTCATTTTGGCAATTTGTGAGTATCACATTTCTCAGAAAGCAAACAGGTCGCTTCTCCAGTATGCTTGTACTTTTGTTAGTGCTTGCTACAGCTGTCTCCTATCAAGATGCTAAAGTACAAGTTTGCACTTCACAGCAGTCCTTTCTACTGTACTCCAAAGGTGCAACTTATGAGTTAAAAACCAGCACATGCTTCCAAGGAAGATTAAAACCAGTGTGAAAAACTGCATTGAGTTTGGTTCCTGTCTCTTTCCTTTTTGTCAAGCTCTTGTCTTGGCCCTTATTTTTCTACTGACTCAACAAGCAGCATAGTGGGTAACTCCCAGCCCTTTCTCTGGAGTTCCACCCATATTTGCAGAAGGGGAAGAAAAGAGAAGAAAAGAGAAGAATAAAAGAGAAGAAAAGGAGAGGAGACTGTAAAAAGATAGCCAACATTTACTGAGCCAGTCTTTGTCTTTGTCTGATAGCATCTGTGCCCACTAGCCAGAAGAAACAGGGCATCTCCTCTGCTGTCACCTCTGGTTTTTAGGGAGTGAGTGGGGTGAGTTACCTTCCTCCATCAGGCAGAGCCGAAGGGGAAGCAGAAAAAGTGAGACTTTTAGCAGCCTTTTTCTGCCACCATCCCAGCCTTTTAGGAGACTCCCCGTAGGCAGGAGAAACCCTGGAGCTCCAGAGTGGAGGAGTGGAGCTGGCAGCCAGCTGCTTCCTGAGCATCACCAGCAGCTGTTCACATGGATATTCCCTCTGGGGCAAGGGCTGTCTGCAGGACCCCGGCCTCCCACCTTGGCCTCCAAGCACGCACAGCTGTAGGGGGCTCCGAGCCCAGCCAACACTGCAGCCTTAGCAACAGGGCAACAAAAAGCAGCCAGCTCACCCTCGCCTCATTTCCTGCAGAAAATACTTACCCCAGTTTTTTCCGTTCGGGCTCTGCGGGGAGGGGAGCTTGCATCGCTCACTAATCCAAATGCTGTCCTAAAAGAGAAGACCGGGGGAGAGCAGAGGGAGTCCCCATGTTTGGCCTAAGTATTTGCAGGAGTTAAGGCCATGGGAGGCGTTTTTCTAAACCTGATGAGGAAGTTTCAGGATGAATTCGGTTTCAGCAGCCTGCAGCTTTCAAGGAAAAAAGCTGAGTCAGAGGCACCGACGACTTCCAGCACTCAGCTTTATTCTGTGAGGCAAAACCAATGCTAAGGCTCCAGCTTTGATGCTTGCAGTGAGCACTGCTTCAAATATATCCAACAGCTAGTAACAATGCATTACTAGGGAGCTTTTATCAAACAACTGAGTTTTTCAACAGCAGGATTTCTTTGCCTGAGGATAGTTAGGCCTCAATATAAATGTACCAAAGATAAAAAGTTCAAGAAACTGCTCTGAAGACATTTATTGTAGAATAGTGGCCCTACCTCACATGAATTAGAGCATCCTTAAATTTATGCCTTCAGGTAATCTCTGCTCTAATCTTTCTGACCCAGGAGAGGACCAAGCACTCTGTTTTGAGGTCAGACAGATCCCAACCTGTCACACTTCCATACATCCTTGTACAGAGAAACCTGCCCGCATCATGTCCTCAAGAGTACTACAGCTGGAACATGAGGCATTTTACACAAAAGACAGAGGAATCAGTACTCTCTAAAACAGCTGCTCTCACCCATTCAAAGGACCACACTGAATGATCTCGGACAGGAATTTAAAGACTTCGGTGCACTGGAAAGGGCAGATGGGATTCAGTCAATAAACCAATTG